TTTGGGTCTCCGGATCACTGAGTTGATAGAAACACATTATCTAGAGCCATCGAGGCAATTTAGAGTAATTGCACTGTCCTGGTCTTAGGACCACTGAGTCAACTGGAACGCACCATCTGTGGCCACTAAAACAATTTAGGGTAATTGTGCTGTCCTGTTTCCCAGGTACAGAAGAATGTGCTTTGATAACCAGTAAGATCACAATCAATGGGATAGTCATTCAATCAATAAGGCATTCAATCGAATGGGATGACTTATACAATTTAGAAAATCAAAGTAACCTGTCCATTGTTAAACAAAGCAAATAGGTACCATACTTCAATACTGACAGCATGAAACCTGGTATTAGTGTAATGATCTGAGAAAATATAAAATGCATCAGAAAAAAACATAGGTAAATTGTAAAGAATGGGTGGTTTACTATACATATTGATCTCAGAGAGGAATGAAGAGAGATAGTGAGATAGAAACATCTGTGATGAGGAAGTCATTTATCTGCTGCCTCCTGCACCTCCACATTGGGTGTTGAGCCTGCAACTCTATGCCTACCAGGAATGGAACCATGACATCCTGGTTCATAGGTTGACACTCTACTACTAAGCCACACCAACTGGGCACTTTAAATGGGTTAGTTTTTAGTTATATGCAACAAGCTAAGATTATGGCATTAGGAATAAGCACATTTTAACTTTTTCAAGAAAAACTCTTGCCCTGGCTGGTTTGGCTCTATTGGAGCATCATTCCATGCACTGAAGGGTCTTGGTTCTACTCCCAGCCAGGGCACATATCCAGGTTGCAGATTCCATCCCTGGTCAAGGTGTATGTGTGAGGCAACTGATAGATGCTTCTTTTGTTGCAGAAGACCAAAGAAAAACCAAGCCACACTTTAAAGAAAAGGAGGGACACTGTATAATATGCCAGCGGACTCAGGGAATAACTTTCCAAATCTGAGTACCGAAACATGCAGGGAGTTTCTTTTTATATCTCCCTGTGGTCTTTGTCCCACAAATATGGATTATGCTTCTGGTCCTTTTCGTGGGCCTTGCAAGAAGGCCCCCAGGTGTTGGGGGTCTCCAGGCCATATCTCATGGTTTGGCCTGGTGCCAGTGTTAATAACCCTCCCTCTGGGGCAGTGCACTGTTCATAGTTTTATGGCCTCAGTAACAGGTTCTGCAAGACCAGTTTCTGGGAAGGAGGTAATGACTTAATTATAGGTTATCAAGAATGTACACTGAGCTTGCTGGCATGGATTCCAATTGCTAGCCCCCAAAATATCAGGGTTACATTGGAATTAGACCTTCTTTTTAGCCACACTTTCTCACATTGATGTTTCTCTCTCTCTCTCTCCCTCTCCCTTCCTCAAGACATCCAGATTGAGTTGAGGAGGAAAAAAACAGTCCCCTTCTATTCTCTCTCTCTTGCTTAACCCCATAGCCACAGATCTGCTTGTGTAATCTTTCTTGCTACACCTGGCAATGGCAGCTTAGTGGAAATTCCCCAGCAAAACCCAGAAGCCCTGAAAAAGTATAAAAGGAAAGTAAGAACCTAAGCTGGGTCTCAGCTTTGGGAACTGATTCCCCTGAACCAGAGTGCTGGGGGTAGAAATAAAGTGCCTTTTCTTAATCTTCCAAGTGCCTGGTTTTCTGTCCTCCTGCTGCCTGGTAATTTTGCCATAACATAGTTACTAGTCTACAACTATCAGAAAATGAAGCCCCATCAGCAGCCTGAAATTGTTAGGGACTTCCAGAGAAATACCAACCCTGAGAAATATGATTTTATCATCCTTCATTCATTCCCGTAAGTGTGGTCACTTTGAGATGTGTGCACATCTAAAGTGTTGAAGGCTTCAGGCATGGGATTATTGTTTATGTCCCTCTCATGGCCTCTTCCACTGCCCTCAATGTCATTGCCTATGGAAGATAGTGCCCAAGGGCAGTACCTTTGGAGAACAGTCAGGATTAGGTCAGTCAAGAAATATTCTGTGGGCTTGAGCAGAAATCCTTTGCTGCTCATGTCCCTGTGTTTTTCTGGATCAATGAGCACCATATGCTTTTGGCCTCTTCTCCTTTTCCAGGCAGCTAATGTCACTATTGACAGACCTTACTCCACAGCACATCAGAGGCCTCTTATTAGACTGGAGTTTGATTTGGGTTAATAAACATCTCTGGGATTACAAAAGTCCCCAGGAGGGTCAAAAGTATTGGTCAGCAATGCCTGAGCTCAGCAAAACTTTGACTAAATCAGGTGATTTTTATCGTTGACTTCAGTTGGAGAGGCTGGAAATCATGACAGAGGGATGGTGTATTAGTTTGCTAGGGCTGCTGTAATAAAGTGCCACAAACTGGGAGACATACACAACAAAAATTTCTTTATTTTAAAATATATTTTTATTGTTTTTGGGTTGTTGTTTTTTAAGAGAAAGGGAGAGGGGGAAAAAGAGAAACATCAATGTGAGAGAGAACATTGACCGGCTCCCTCCCACACACACCCTGACCGGGGATTGAGCCCGCAACCTGGGCATGTACTCTGACCAAGAATCAAACTGGCAACCGTTTGGTGCACAGGATGATGCTTAACTGAGCCACACAACAAAAAATATTATCTCACAGTTCTGGAGGCCAAAAGTCCAAGATGAAGGTGTCAGCAGAGATTGTCCCTTCTGAGGGCTCTGAGGGGGAATCTGGTCCATGCCTCTTCCTGAGCTTCTAGTGCAGTGATGGCGAACCTTTTGAGCTTGGCATGTAGGCATTTTGAAAAACCCTAATGTCGGAAGGCGGTCCATCCTTGCTGCTTGACACAGTCACTGCAGTGAAGAAACATCGGCACAGCATATGTTTCAAGGGACCTGGAGTATATGGCATACTGTTCTTAATATGTTTGCTCCCCTTCTTAGCGCTATGTGTTTTAACCAAGGTCACCTCTCCAAGAAAGATTGTTTCCCCAGGTGGGGATTTTTCTCTGGAGTTAGGGATTAACAGAACTAAGGAAGGCAATAAAACCCCTTAACTAAGTTCCAGGTGGGTAATTAATTATTTTAATTATGAACAATCACGCTTAAGCTACATTATCTTTACTTAGGATATTCTCCTTCAGTTACTTCCTTGTAGCTTAACAGAACAATAGAATAGTGACCTTAGAATGGAGATAACAAACGCCCTAACCATTGGAATAGAATGGATAGGATTAAAATCAACTGGTATAAATACAGATGTA